TATCTTGGAAAAACAAAAATAAAAACAAAAACAAGACAAGAGAGTAGAAACAAGAGTCAAGCTTTCAGTATTGCCTTGGATTTTCAAAGTCATACCCTGGTCCACCATCAGAAAGCTAAGGGATTAGGAAGCTACTCTACATTGTCACCACAGGTACAACACTTAGACACTCTGCAATTTCTTGCCGGCTTACCAAAACAAGTATGGCAAAACAAACAAGCAAAATAAAACAAACTACTATTACCCATAATATTCCAGAAAATGCTCAGGCAGTTAGGAAGCAGATGCTAAGACCTCCGCCACAGTGAGCAGGTCCTTCAAGAACAGCCCTGGTGATGCTTGATTTTACTTCATGTCTGGCCGGTACAATCTGTGCCATGTCTGGTGACTTGCTGCATAAGGAGTGCTTAGCATCTTAGCTGTGCACTTGTGAAGGCCATTCACAGAGTCCATGACAGAACCAAACGAAGCTCACCCTGATGTTAGTGGATCTTTCCCAAGCTCATCACACTTAATCCCAGCAGTATGTGTTTGGGTATTCCTTGAACCCTGGGGTCTTCCATTGGTCAATTAGGACTAATGATATTTAGCTTCCAGAACTCTTGGGAATTAAGCTAAATATGATAATATGTAGGAGAGGAACAAGATGCCTGACAAAAATTCAGCTTTTAGTAAATGAGGCGTGAGCCAAAAAAAATTACAGTGCACCACTGCCCAGCTTTGTAGACTCAGAATCCCCCAAGAGGAACAATATTGCTTATGGCTGTATGGTTTGGTGGCCTGGGTAGAAGTAGCCTTTGTACTGTCTACATAGAACTTAAAGAGTGTATATGCCCTGGAAAAATGACTGGAATATATGTGTATGTTATTTCAGTTTTTTAATTAAAAATGCATATGTTTTTATTCTCTGAGAATTTCATACATATATACAATGTATTTTGAATGTATTTTGATTGTATTCACCTGGACTCCCTCTTCCCACCTCTTCCTAGATCCATCCCTACTCCCCTTACTACTCCCAGGTTTGTGACCTCTTTTTTTTGTTGTTGTTTTTTAAAATAACCAACCAATAATCAAATTTATGCTGCTCGTATTTTCACATACATGGGGCCATCCACGGGATGACCAGACTCTTACAGACACTGACTTCCTAATAACTCCCCACTAAGAGGCGGAGCTTGGGCATGTCTTTCCCTTTCACGCTGGAATGTGGCCTGGCTTACTCTTGGGCAATAGCTCCTGTGAGTTTACTAGGAAAGCCTTTCTTTCCCTGGAAGACAGTGATTTGTTCTGGTCCTTCCTGACCTCTGGCTCTTGAAATTTTCTATCTTCTCTTCTGCGATGGTGCCTGAGCTTTGAGAGAGTTAGATATGATAAAGACTGCCCATCTGTAGCTGTGCACTCCACAGATCCTTCCTCTCTGGACTTGTACCATTATGAGTTTCTTCATCAACCCTTGTCCACCTCTCAAAGAAGCTTCTCTACTTCTTTTTGATTTTTAATGAGTTTTAAAAATCATAATAAAAACCTACATGCATAAACAATGAAAGGAAGGGTCCTCTTGATTTTTTTAAATTTTATTTTAAAATATTCCTACAACTATATACAACTATAAATCCTTCCTTTTTCCTCTTTGCAATAATTGGGCCACATAATAGTTACCTAGAGTGTGTACCTTTCTCAATTCTTAACTCACTGTATCTTGGAGTTGGAATTATTTTTATGTGTATAGAATTAATGACCTCTTGTTGACAGCTGGGTGTTTTGAATGTTTGCAGAGTTTACTCTGACAAGTGTCCATAGGCGACTATCTGCAGAAAAGACCTGTAGACATAGGTGGGGTCCATGGTTAGATGCATCCTCAAATGGCATCTCATCTTATACTTTTGACCAATCTTGTAGAACCACCCTTGCTGCCGACATACCTACAGTACTGTGCCATCAACGCTTAGTTTTCGCCAGTGAGGGCTGGGAAGTGAAGAGTTAATGACAGTGTGGGCCAGAAGTAATCCTGACAAGGAACGAGGGATGAAAGATGAACTAGAAACACTGAGAGAAGGGAAGCCAGTAGGCTTCCAGCAGTCATGGCGTGCCAAGCAGTGACTGGACTAGACACCTCATGTTCTAACACTTATTCCACACCAAGCCGTAAATAGTCTCTTTAAAACCGCATGCATGTGTGCACACATGTGTGCCTCGGTACATGTGGGACCTCAGCGGACAACCCTGGCCTGAGGCAGGTTCTCTTGTGCACTGCTGTGTATGCTATTCTATCTGACCCAGGAGCTTCTGGGGATTCTCTTGTCTCTGCAGTTCTTCTCACTGTGGAGGCACTAGAATTACAGATATGTACTACAGCAGCTGCCTTTGTGGGATTTGAACTCAGGTTCTTATGCTCTCCTGAGAAGTTCTTTCCGCACTGAACCCATCTCCTTAGCTCCCCCTAAGCCTGTGTGCTTTGATGACCAGTGTCTGCCTCCAGTGCCTCCTGTGAGCTTCTCAGTTTTCTACTGAGCAAACTTAGACGCAAAGAGGCTGAGTGATTCATCCAAGGTCCAAAATCAACTGAAGTTGAGACAGGGGATCCAGTTGACAACTTCTCGTCTATTGGTTTAGCCTGGGATTTCGGTCTACACTGGAAAGGTCTCAGTGGGTTTGAATGCGTCCTCAGGATGAACTCCACCCACAGTTGGCGCTTGATGATTGGGCTGAATCCAGCCATTTCCTGTACCGCAGAGTTTCTTTGTATGGGAGTGGTTTTGTGACTGGGTCTCGTGTAGCCCAGGCTCTCTGTGAATTCACCATGTGTCCAAGGCTGACTTGAACTCCTGATCTTCGCGTCTGTGCTATGCCTGCTTATGGTCAGTTCTTCAAGGTTCCTCCCGAGGAAATATGTGTTCTTTCCACCAAACTACTGTATCTACTTAAGGAGAACTTCACAAGCTATGTGTAATAAAGAGCTTAAGATTTTTGTTTAGAAAATTATGTAGTCACTCTTGAATTTGACCCTTAGAACTTCAACATTTTAACACCTTTCGGGATATCCTCCTGGGTAAGCCCAGAAGTGGGGCTGTGACCCGTGACCTGTTCCTGTTCCCCTTGCTCAGGACCGCTGAGATGGAGGACTCACTGGGATGTCCTTGGCAGTATATTTCACTTAGTTTTGAGTCATCTGCATCGGTCAGGGCCTTTTCCACTTGAATCAAAACTGTGAGGCTTTGGACTTTCTCTTGAGTTTTAATGACAGTGCGATGTCCCAAGTTCCAAAAGGAGACAATGTCAAAGTGACACCAAACATGTGGTAGGGACATGACAAGGACACCGACCTTAGAAAACAACCCACAGTTTATAATGAAAAAAAAAAAAACCTGGGCCAATGACGTTTTAATTAAGAAAGTCCAAGGTCTCCATTGTACCAGCTGGACAACATCCTCACAGTGGTCATTCCTTCAGTGCAGAGCCATGAGTGTCTAGAGAATTAGACATTTATTGTATTTGCCTGAAGCAAGGAAAGTGTCACTGTTAAAGAATGGAATATGAGCGCTGCAGTGGTCTTAGAAATTAACTAGCCCAAAATCCAATTTTCCAGAAAAGAAAACAGAGGCTCAAGAGTACATGCTGTTCAGCTGGGGTGTCAGCTGAAATGAGACACGAGGCATGAGCTTTGCCTGTGTGGCTGGGTGATCCGTAGCATGTATGCCTATGTGGGTGCGGGTGTGGGTGCACACATGCATATAGGTATACAAAGATGTCAGAATCGACCTTCCTCAATTGTTCTCTACTTCAAATTTATTCATGTGTGATTGTATGTAGGGGGTGAGGAGTACTTGTGTGTCACAGTGTGTGTAGGGATACCAGAGGACAAATTTGCAGACTTATTTCTTTTCTTTCACCTTTATGTGGGTTCTAGGTATCAAATTCCAGTAGCTGAGCTTGCAAGGCCAAGTGTCTTCAGTGAGTCTTCTGTGTCCATTTCCACCTTATTTGAGACAGGGTCTCTTAGGGGACCTGGAGTTCGCTGATCAGCTAGACTAGCTGCCTAGTTGGCCAGCAGTTCTCAGGGATCCTCCTGTCTCTGCATTCCTTTCCTGAGCAGCTGGGATATATATATA